TAGGGTATGTTTCTGTAGGTTTTTTGTGTAGAACAACTGACAATCATAAACACTTTGTCTACACAGTACTGACTTGTGACTGAATAATTATGTGGCTCAGCACTATGGAAAATCCATATATTATTGAGTGCTATAGTTATACTGCTATAACCTTGGGTGTACACAGCACTCTGACCGAAGAGCTTCTCCTGTTGACTTAGCTACCACTTCACAGGGAGGTGGACTGTCTACCCCAAAGGATCTCAGTCTCTCCAGATTACTATACCTCTTTCTGGAGTATTGTGTAGTCCCAATGTAAAACTATGTAAAAACTACTTGTTTACAAAATCAGATGTACAAATATAAAAGTGTCAGAGCACGCTTTTAAGAACAAATTGTATACTTTTTTATTTTATCATGTACTTATAAAATAAATCAACTAGAATATAAATGTGCTTACATTTCAGTAAAAATGTATATAGAGCAGTATAAGTATGAAAATTTAACTTGCTCTGGCTTTGTTAGTGCTTTTTATGTAGCTTATTATAAAACCAGGCAGATATTTAGGTGAGTTCATGTAACCCCAGGAGATATATGTGCCCCTTGCTGAGAACTACAGATATACGTCAATAGGAAAAGCCCACTCATTTCTCTAGGTGGGCTTTACTAAGCATTACAGCAACTGATTGGTGTCACTCCCGTGCTGTAAGTGTGGACAAGCCCACAGGTAGCCTTTGAGTCAAACTGCTACACACTGTATGTTTAATTATGGTGTCAAAAAAGTATTAATTTCCATGGCAGTTGTAGGCAGGAGGCTCCAGAATATTAATTAATATAATCTCTTTTGGTATTGGTCATAGCTTCCAGAAAAGATTTTTCACTTTGAAACCAATACTGCATATGCCTTTTCAATGTTCTGTCATCAAGTTCTTATGCCAACGCTTTCAGATTGTGGTTCATAATACTCATTACATTGAATCTTATTGAGACTCCTTGTTACATTTTAGCTTGGAAAAGAGATCATTAAAATTGCATGGAATTTTTAGTCCATTTTACATGTGAATGGTGAAAGCCAAAATGGCTCCCATTCTTTTGAGCCTATGTGGTAGATGAAGGGTAGCAGACAACCTCAAATACATTGAACATTTTATTATTGGAAATGTTTATATACCAGACATAAATCAAATTCCAGATTTGCTTTTCTTTTGAAACTGCAGCTCATTGTTTTCCTTATAAATAGCTTGTTCTGCTTATTACTTCTCTCCTTCCTCTTAAATATTTTACTGTATAACTTGAGCTTCCTGTATTTAATTATCTAAACTATAATGTCTTGGTAGAAAGAAAATATCATTAAGTACTACCAAGTTACTGTCTCTTGTGTTTCCTTTTTGTGTCTCTGGCTTCAGCCATCCTTGGGATGCATCTTCTGGGAAAGGAGAGTATTGTTCAATACACTTGGCATTACACTCAATGGAGGCAAGACTCCAGCCACTCTTTTGTCCCTTATCTAGAATAGTTTGTTAGAAATGAACCAAGCAGAAGTTTGAGTCCTATTCTTTTGATAAAACAAGCTTAATTATTAATAGAAGGAAAATGAAATTAACCGAGAACATTGCATAACATACCTCATCTGAATTCTTTGCAAAGCTCTGTGGGGATACACTCACTTGGCTTAGTTGCAGTGAAAATGCCTTACATTT